AGTAAGATATTAGTTTCATTACCTTACTTTTTTTGGCAGCCAACATTTTCCAATCTACATGCATTCGGTCTTCAATTGCTGAGAATTTTTCCCAACTTATCTTGATGTTTATCAGCAAAAGGAGGAGGTCGTTTCTTTAAAATCTTCTCAAACTTCTTGAAAGTCATGGTGCCATGTAATCCTTTTATAGACATGAAATCTGGGGGCCTCATTTCGTCCTCTTCTGATAATGCTGAAGATGAAGAACTAGAAATAGACTCACTTACAGATTCATTTTCTTCGTACGGGTTGGGTGATCTTAAAGGGACTATTTCTTCACAAGGAACATTTTCAGGCTGCAGTTCTTCCTCCTTTTCCACCTCATCTTCTTCCTCTTCTTCGTCATAAGTCATATCAGAATTTGCAGCCGGATATAAGTCAGGTGGTTTTTCTGGCAGTTGTACTTTCATTTTTTCTCTTTTACCTATGATAGGCAATGAATACTTGTTCACTTCCTTACTAGTGCTAGGGTTTGATATGCTCTGAGGAACCAATTCAGGTAACATTGTGGGTTCAGCTAAGTTCAGTAAATTGATTGTATTGGCATGTTCCTTCTTTCTTTAGAAAGCTCCATTCTTAGCTTACTTGCCGCTTGTTCATCAATCTTTGACTGATTTAATTCTTTCATGAAAGTATCAAGAGAATCTTCCCCTGCAGTTGAGTTATTACCACTATTATCCATTTCCTGAGCAGTAGCCAATTTTTTCTCGAGATCTAATATCAAAGCAGTTGTGGTTTATTCCCCAGAAAACTTTCATATGTTTCTACCGTTGGTGAACTCTTCGAATTCATTCTCTTCTCACGTTTTTTCTCTATTGTTCCAGTCCTGTCTAGATAAGTATCTTCGTCACTATCATAATAATCATTTTCTTTCCAGTTCTTTACTTTCCTCTTGCGGGATTCATGTGTTGCTTGCTTAAGTACACCATATCTATCCAAAATTCTGCATGCTTCAAGAGCACACTGTACGACAGCCTCTTTTTTCTTTTCCTTGTGTAACACCTCTGCTATTATAGGACGGCCCATTTTGTCGTCCAACGGCACTTCAACTTTGCATAAAAATTGCCCCATACCTTGTTCGCTACAGTCGTATTCGAGATCTACACCTTCCCTCTCAAAAAACCCTCTCAGAGCTTTCTTCGGATCATACAAATACAACTCTCCATTGTTACTTTGAGCAAATAGATTTCCGGAGAGATCAGTCTCTTCATCGGCGTCTTCTCCCAGACCCCAGTCAATCTTCTTTTCTTCTTCTCGTTTCTTTCTTTCTTCAATTTCCATTTCTCGTTTCAGTGCTTCTTGTTTCAGTTTCAGTTGCATTTCTTCCTTTTCCTGTTTCAATTCTGTCACTGTTAATTCTTATTCTTCCTCGTCGTCAGATTCAGGACCACTAAGGATGTAAGACCTCGTAATGCATCCAAGCTCGAGCATATGGCTCACCTACATTCTAATGTATACCTTTGGTTTGAGTCTATTTTTATTGAGAAAAGTACCATGAGTGCTCCCCAAATTATAGAGGTAGAATCCTAAACTTTCTGTTTCTGATGGATCCTTTCTGTACTGAAGAACTGCATGATACCTGGAAATTGTTGGATGTTGCATACAAATATTGTAGCTTGTAATTCTACCGGAAGCCCAAAATGACTGTGACATTAAATTGATTGTTTCTATTATTGTACCATTCTTTAAAACTTAAAATTTATATTGCTTACTGTTGCTATCTGGAATGCCTGACCAAACAGGCTCTTTTTAGGGTAACATAATAGAGTTTTCAGAATGCTGTGAGAGTGGAGTATCTACTCTCGCCTTTTCAAAGTTTTTTTTTCACCAGCTTCACTATCTGTTAGAATTTTTTTCCCTGTTTCTGTTTCATTGGGTCTTTCCTCTAATATTTCACTATTACAAGAGATTTGAATAGGTAATATTTTTTTTGCTAACTTTTCAATTTTCCAATTATTACTGGTTTTTTAAAGGTAGAGTCTTCCTTTTTGTTTTTTTCGGGACGAATTGATTTATCTTTTTCAATAGAATTTTCCATGATTCCTTGGAAAATACTTTCAAGTTTGGCTGATGAAAAATATAATGAAATTTGAATGGAAGGGGTTATATTATATCATAATGAAATTATATTGAATAACATCGAAATAAAAAATTCGAAATTTCGTTTTTGATTTGCCAGTTTTGTATTCGCATAGATATGGGAAGTCTGTTTGTACTTCGATCAATTTCCAGTGGGTTATCAACATTTTTATACAGGATATCGTCCAAATTGGACCATATATACACTCAACTTCCTTCGAAATTGATATTCATTGTAGCACTTTGTTGGTCGTGAATTTCTCCAGAATTTCGAAAAATTCAATTACTTCTGTATTCCTGGAATGTTCAGTAACTTGATAATCAGATAAATTATCGGTTTGTCATTACGGTCCTGATAAGTTTCAACACATCTTAAAACCTTACGTTATCCAAACAGAACCTTTTGCGTGGCCTAAAGCACCCGTAGGACCGTTTTCAAGCATATGTTCGTTAAAATGAACATGCGGAAGTTTGAAAGCTGGAGGTATACTTCCACCAGCAGCATTTGCGAAACCCAGCATAGTTACCAGCGTGCCACGTTCAGTTGAGCTGATTTGACCAACGCTCTCAACACCTGCTTGGCAACTATCTTGGATGCATTAGTGACCGTCGTGCACCTACTTTCATCCACATTCCATATTTGATGTGGAGGAAAGTCATGCTTTGAATAACACTTCTCCAGGTTATCGAAAATGTTTTCAACATTGTGCCTATTAAAGCTAGTAGTTCTAGCTAGCGATGTGTTTTCTGGTTTCCTCGCGCTCAGCGAATTATGCCTCTACAAAAACCCCGTTAGCCAATCCAGACTGGCTTTATTATTCTCTTCCCAAGAAGATGGTATGCTCCGATTTAGACGTACAGCATACTGGTAAGCTAGAGCTTTCTGACTTATTCAGTTGTCAAGCCAAGGCAGATATTTGCAGAAGTCTTCAAGTAATCTGCTAGAGACCATTCTTGGTCTATAGTGAAAACTTTTTTATTGCCAACATTTGGTTTATAAACAAATGAAGTACATTCAGAAGCTTTAGCTTTATAGCGATCAATCTATGCAAATGGGCTTTGTTTATATCAATTATCTTCGCAGCCGATCCCACAGAAATGCCTTTTTGCAATACTTCATTAACTGCCTCTTTAATTTTCGGTGCATCGACACACGTTCGCTTCTTAGGTGACATTTGTTCTCTGAAAAATAAATATAAAAAATATTACAAACCCAGTACAAAATAGCAGTTTTGAAAGGGACAGTTATGAAGAGAACATCCCATATAGCCGTTTGTTGTGTCCCTTTTATCATTATTATACAAAAGTTTTCAATAAAACTACAAAATCTACAATATCAAATTTATAACAAATTATAACAAAAAAATACAATTTAATGCCAAAAACAACACGCACGCATTCGCCATGTTAGAAGTAACAGCAGGATGAAGTTAGCCGCGAACGAACTTGCTTCAAGGACGACAAAAATAATGTTGTTTAGGAATATTTTTTACTTCACGGGTAATTTGAGTTGTCTCTTTCAATACGTGTCCCCTTCACGCCACCTCTCCCCCACTCTAACAACTCTTTTTTATTACTTTCACTCAACAACAAATAAACAACTGTAATGATTATAAGAATGTTTTTAACGATTCTTGAAATGATAATAATAGAAAATAAAATTTGAATGAATTGTGTTTTATTCAATAAATCTAAACTTACTACATTGAAAGTAGCTTTGTGGGGTACCACTGAAGGGAATTTCTTAAGAGCTTTTAGATAAGGTATCACAAGTAGATGGTGGCCAATTAAGGATATAAAGTGTGTTACGGTTTTATTTTACCTTTCTAGATATTAAGAATTTTAGACTAAAAAGGAAGGGAAGAAGGAGAAAATAAATAGAGGAATCGGATTGTCAACAAATCTATATTATATGTGGTCATGCCCTTACAGATAATCATTATTATTAAATATTATTTTTTTATTTCAATTCTTCTCAAACTTTTCTACTCTCACCATCTCTGGCAGTAGACTTGGTCTCTTTAGTCACTTAGATCATTAGAAATGTAGCAGTTATTACAAAATAAATAAAATTTCAAAACATAACCTATACTTGTCATCCATTCAGATTGATTTGTCTGTATTGAAATTCTTCTCTATGATTGAAATTTCGTCCACATTTGGTACCATTCATTTGGGAAAAAGGTAACTAGAACTTGCACAGATGTGAAGGAAAAAAAACTGGAAAAAAAATTGAAGTCCTCCATTTTGATGGTGATATTCAATTTACGCATTTTGCGGATTTATTCTGGAAATCTCGTTCAGTAACACCAGATTATTGATAAGTTGGGTAATCTTAACCACCTCCACTCATTTGTGGATATATCTTCTGGAGTACTGAACATTCCAACCTTCTTCGACGTAAGTTCTACGTAATCACTTTCGAGGCCACACAACATCTAGGGTATGTTACCTTCCTCATTTGAACATTCACTACAATAGAATGTCATTAGTACTGAATATATTTATTGTTTTCAGGCCTGTTTCCTTCTTTTATTATCCTTGATTTGTTCTGCTTTATATATCAAGAAGTAGAGTAGTGAAGTATAGTGCTAAACCTGGCTTCTCATTCCTTCCTGCTTAATAATAGGGATTTGGAAGCTGTCATAAGGCTTCACTGGTTTAGGGATTAGCTTCTGCTTTAATTGACCCAATGTACGAATGATATTCAAACACCCCAACCCTTAGGATACTCTCATGAAGTGGATCAGGACTTGAAGGAGACACCGACGAAACAGATAAGCCTTTTTTAACTGTGCTTCATTTCTATCATTTTATTGCTGAGCATGGTCGCTTTCACTGAATGTGCATGAATTACTACACAAATTGTTTTGTTTTCTTTCTTTATAGTTGTACAGTTATCAAGTTGTGCTAGACCATTAGTTCAGTCACATCCTCATTTCCTGTAAAGAAAAAGCATATAAATAACAACTCTAAAAGAACCTAATAGTGGGTCAAAATTAAACAACTTACCTCTAGCGTTAACAGTGTACACTTTCAGTATATATACTAAAAGGTTAAGGAATTTAGCGCATGTAACTAGTACATTTATGACGAATAATTGCCTCAAGAACATAATATTACCATACAATTTACAAGATTGCATTTTTGCATCTATTGCAATATTTACATGAAGATCGACCTTTGACTCCTGTTTACACCATAGCCCTTCTTTTTTTTCTTTCCCTGTCACTCCTCTCACTCTTTTCCTTACTGAAATCAGGCTAGCCAGCATTTATAATTGCGATTTCCCCAATTGTCAAACCTCTTTTATCGACGGCTACGGTCTCTTGTTTTGAGATATTTACCCAGCTCCGGTTCCACAACATTGTCACTTTGTCAATTGTCAACGACAAGCAATTAAGATTGATTTGATTTTATTAAGAACTATCAAACTTTATAGGTTGTTTAATTCAATAATATAGTTGGTATAACGATTCGGGTTTTATTTATTTATTTATTTTGTTCGATAAAGAACCCCACCCGTCTCCACTGAGCAAGGGTATGTTCAGAAAGGATTAAATATTTTGCTGCTAACGGCCAACCAAGCATCGCAAAGCGTTGTATTCCTTGGTTCCGTAGGTCGGCAGTAGCAAGTGGGGTGGCTGGGGGTGAGGGGATAGGAAAGAATAAGTTAGCTATCATATCATTTTGTTTTCCTCTTCCTATTATGGAAGTTGTTTTCAGCAATTTCTTTTATTTTATTCGGTTGCTCAGATATAGCCATTGTACGTTTTCAAATTGTCACCCTGTATGCTTACTACTTTTACACAGATTCTTATGAATGAAAAAATGAATAAATGAAAAAACCAACTTGATTTATAATATTCACGTACAACTGGACATAGATATTATCAAACAATAATCAATTAAATAGTTCATTTACTATACAAATACGAAAAAAGATATTCATTTGTTTTTCGATACGATAATTTTTCTCACTTTCAACCTATTCATTGATAACATGAAGGTTTTCAATGCTGGAAAAAATAACAGGAGGTATAAAGTTGCAAACTTGAGGTTGCAAACACGTGACATATGGCATACATAAAAAATATTAAATTTTTCTCAATTTATTTTTATTTCATCTCTGATATTTTCAGTAACCAAAGATTCTAAATAATAATTTGAAAGCAACTAAAACGAGTACATCTGCAAAATTTTCTTAGAAACTGATGAAACTTCTTTTCATTATTCTCTGAACTCCACTTTTCGTTGAATTTTCACCCATTGAATCAGTTGAAAGAGAATGTATTCAATGAACCTGATTTATACCCTCAAGAAACCCTAATGTGGAGAAGTGTACAGTCACAGAGATAAATCACCAGCTATTTCAAACGAGTTGAACCCTGAAATTTGTGAAAATTTGTGGACGGAGAGCAAGAAAGTTGCGGCAGTTTGGTAGTTAGGGTAAATGACAGGGCGGACTTCTGTAATCGAACTTTTCCTACAATTTGTTTGATACATTTTTCTATCTCAAGTTCGATGGAGTTTTCACTGAGAATTGGAAATTGTTTGTTTAGAAATGAATAGCAAATAGAATATGCGACAATGAATCACGTGTGTCGGGAGAATCATTTACCGAGAAAAACAGATTTTTACATAAATACTAGAGGTTATGACATTTGTGCCTTTGCGCACATGAATAATTGTTATGTCATAATAGAATCGAAGTCAGCAATATACATTAGCATAACAGTGTTATTCACTATGTCGTGAGCGAGCCATAATGTAATTAGACTGCGAATTATTGCGAATCAATCCAATACAGATGAAGAAGAAATCGCATCAGAGAAGCGTCACGTTCAGTATTGTGGAGTCGACTGTACCTGCAATCTGTGATAAATTATGGAATTTTGCTCCTTAAATCGGAAGACTGGAAGCATACTACTATGAATAGAAACATAGTGATGATGAAACTGAAAGGATATGAGAATTTCGACACTGTACTCGCATATTCCACAATTAGATTTCAAGTAGTCAAATACAATTGTAATTTGGTAATTCTAAAATGATCTATTTGAGCCTCATGAAATCCAGGTAATCCTAAAATCAGTAACTAGATAGTTTTTCCAACTGGTTGAATGAACAATAAAAAGAAACTCATTAAATATATCATAGTCATAGACAAAACTGAAAAGGTGTGACGTTTGTACCAACCTATAAGCTTTCTTTAGACAATAATAAATTGATATTTTCATCGAAATGAAAAATTGTATATATTGTATATATTTGTATATATTTTGTGTACCTGATTTCTTTATGTACCTATTTTTTTTATTTCACACATTATTCAAATAATTAACAACCTGAGAGTTCACCCCTCACCTCACGAAAAAAATGATATGTTTTCATTCAGTCTAAATAACAAATGGATTATGCAAATCACCGTTATTTTAAAAAGGAAAAATTTAATTACCTATGTTGTAAATCAATTGTTGTTACAACACTTCAACAAGTATTCAAATATGAGGTGGAAATAGCTTTTTTCTCATCTTTTTCGGGTATTTCCACCTTCCACAATCTGAAAAATATAAAAATTATAAAAGAAAACTTCATATTCATTTTCTCATATCTGAAGAAAATTGTATTTAGAATAGCTCCTTAGAAATAGATTGTACTTGGCTACCCGCCTTGAAGAAAAATAAGGATAGTGGAAAAATAGCAACAAACTGACATAATAATACATTTATTTTTCCAAAGATGATAAAACATATAGGAATAGTCACTTTTAATCTAAAGATCTAAAAAATAAAAAATTCATCCAATGTATAAAAAGCATTGTCAAGCAAGCAAGTTTTAAAGATAGAAATATTGGCGGAACTAACTATTTCTTTAGGCAGTTTATTGAAAATCCTCAGACTCAAATATTCAGAAGATTTCGAAGATACAACATATTTTCAGTAGGGAATGTGAAAATCAGCGCAATTCCTCGTATTGTGACTATGGACTCGTTGGATTCTAGTGAACTTATTTTTATTTGTGTATACGTATACACACATTTCTAAAATTAAAATAATCGCCATTGTTAACATTTTTGATGCTTTAAAAATTGGTCTACAGAATGCTTTGCCTGAGGTATCGCAAATTTTTAAAATACGTGTTTGTACAATAAATACGTCTGGTGCTCGAGTGGACACACCCCAGAAACATATGTCATATCGTAATCGGGAGGCTACTTGTGCGTCCTATATGGATATTACTATACATTACGATTCTACCCATCCTTATCAATACAAAATAGCAGCTTATAATAGCATGATTCACACATCAGTCAATGTTCCTCTTTCAATAGACAATTTTAATAAAGACCTTAATATCATCAAGCAAATTGCGGTTAACAATGGGTTTAAAGCCGAATTAATAAACAAAATTCTTACCAAGAAAGTCTATTCAAAAGCGATTCGAGAGGTTTTTCCTATTGATAAGGTAGATAATCAAAATTATACAGCGTTAACCTATTTTGGACAAACAACGTAGAAAGTGGCTTCATTTTTGAGATATTAAAATTGCATATAGAACAAGTAATACGTTGGGAAAGTTAGTTGAAAATAATAAAGACAAAACATCTTAATTCGAGAAATCAGGAGTATATAAATTGAAGTGTGAAACGTGTCCTAAGGTATATGTGGGTCAAACTGACAGAACATTTAGGAATAGAATCCAGAAACATCATACGAGCTATGTAAATAAGAAAACAAATTCAACACATTCAAGTAATCTTCTACAAGAAAATCATATGTTTAACGAATAGTTCGAAATTTTGCACATAGAAAATAAAGGTTTGACTGAATCATTTTTAAGCATTGGGAATTACTAACCTTGAAAATTCAAATATTCTAATAAATGACCAACTGAATTTGAATGTATCACCATTATTGAACTTGTTTTCTTAAACACCGAGAAAGGCGTATTATTGATATAGATGTACCTTAGGTAGAGGTATGGCTAATTCTTGAAGGTAGTCTCAATTATGTTTACCTGGAGTATATGAATATTCTTGTAAGAAACAACTTGAAGTATTCAATTCACTTGATGAAGCTACTGTATTAGCGAAACATGTGATATTTTTCAAATGAAGTTTGTGGAGATCAAATCGTGAGATGTAATTTATGAAATTACTATGGATCTTCCTCAAGTAACGGCCGAATCAATCGAAAAAAAACTCAAGATATACACTTCAGAAATAAATAAAATTTGTTAGTTCGAGTAAAAGTATCAATCAGAAACTGGAAATCCTGATTCGTTTTTTGTGATGTAGACTTCATGAGGAAAATTTTCATTATTCAGTCTAGCATATAGAAGAATATAAATTTAGTCAGATATCAAGTTAATGCTTTGATTGGAGTTTAAATGGGGTTTGAACGAACGTTAGAATGAATTTTAAAATATTTAAATGATTTCTTCTGTAATTTATTTGCTTCCTCGCATCCAGATTATTTGATGTATGGCAAACATGAAGTAGTGACTCAATTGAATGTGCAGGATATATTTTCGACCGTCAGTCAGAGAAACAGAATAATCACAGCACAGGAATATCCTATGCTTAGGTGAAATTGAGCTGCTGCCTGACAATTTATTTCTAATAATGTACTCGATTACTGTGAATATCCATTTTGCGTTTTGTTGAAAGAATTGAAATTAAAAAGTGAAGAAAAAATTATGAAAAGTTCATACTCACAAAACTTTCATCATGTGTGCCTCCAGAGGACATTCGTTGATTAATAAAAATTATTAACGAGTACATCAATTATTTAAATAGAATCAGAGTTACCGAAACATAGAGTACAACCTAATGACAAATAAACACGGAAAACTATAAAAAATGATTAACATGTGATGAGAAGAAAAGAAAGTATGTGTTTGAAATATGAATAGTCAAACAAATAGTCACAATATTTTTCCAACAACCGAAAACTTCAGGTTTCCAACTCCCAAACTGACGAAATTCAATACAATCTTTGAACCCTTATTTTTCCTCCTCGGGGGTAAAAATTCCCGTTTCTTTTTCTGATGCTTATGTACGCTATACAGAAAACCTACCTGCATATTTCTAGATTCTAAGTTCAGTAGCTTCAGCTGTACGTTCAATATGAGAGCGGGCAACAGCTAGTAATTTTTACTTTGAAAGTACAGTAACCGA